AATAATAGTAGAAGTAGTAGTAGTAGTAATAATAATAGTAGAAGTAGTAGTAGTAGTAGTAATAGTATTAGTAGTAGCAGTATTCGTCCTTTCTTCCTTTTTCCTTTTTACTGCCTTAGCTTCTCTTTTCTTCCTCGTACATCCATCTCCCTCTCTCTTTTTTTCTCACTCTCCCTATGCCTTCTTCCTTCTTCTTTCTTATCCCCCTCCCCTGACTCCCACAGCCTCTCTTCCCCCTCCCCCCTCTCCCCCCTCCCACTCACTCCCTCCTCCCTCTTCCCTACCCACTCCCTCCTCCCTCCCACCTCCCTCCCTCTCTCCCACCCACTCCCTCCTCCCTCCACCCTCCTCCCTCCCTCCCACCCTTCCCACCCCTTACCCCCACCCCCATTCCCACCCCAAACCCCCCACCAAACCTCTAGGAATGGGAACGGGATGTCAGGGAATAATGCACTCACTCGATTCCAGAGTCCTGTCAGACAATCCGTCAAAGCGCCGGTCAAGAATTCCATGGCGGGGTTTCCTATCTGCCTGATAATGTGGTCAGTGCCAGTTGCGGGGAATAAACCAGTTCTTGTTGATTATGACGGATGGGAGGGGGGGGGATTTGCGCTTGTTTGTTGTTGTTTTTGTTTTTTTTGTTTTTGGTTTTGTTGGGTGGATGATTTTTTTTTTGGTTTTGTTTGGGGGGAGGAAGGAGGTTATTGTGTTTTTGGTTGTATGTGAGAGAGTTTGTTTGTGAGTGTTTGGGTGTGTGTGAGAGAGAGAGAAGGGAAAAGCGTGTGTGTGTCTGTGTGTTTGTTTACTTATAAATGTATGATGTATTGAGATCAAAGAAAGTCTTCACAACAAGTGATACCTAGAAACAACAACAACAACAAAAAATACATATATACAAGCAAAGAAAATACAAAAACACAAAAAAAGCCAATCTCCGCCCCCACCCTCCCCTCTCAGGGACACCCCCCACCCCATCCTTCGAAAAAAAATCAAATTCATCCACTTTCATCATTTATTGCACTAATCTGCAACCGAGACATGCGTTGCAAACCGCCTGCACGCAACCCTGGCTCCTCCACGCAACCGGCCGAGTCACGTTTGCAACAAAAGACAATTGCATGTGGCGTGTACTAGAATTGCAGTTGGAAGTCAGCAAAGAAAAAATATATTTCTAGTAATTATATCTTGGAATACACGTGTATGTCAGTATGTTAGTTCGTGGTAGCCAGATGGATAGATAGATAGATAGACAGACAGATAGATTGATAGATAGATAGAGAGAGAGAGAGAGAGAGAGAGAGAGAGAGAGAGAGAGAGAGAGATAGATAGAGAGAGAGAGAGAGAGAGAGAGAGAGAGAGAGAGAGAGAGAGAGAGAGAGAGAGAGAGAGAGAGAAAGGAAAGCTAAGATAGAAAAAAATCGACAGAAAGAGATCAGCGAAATAAAAAAATTTCTTCTCCTTCAAATCATTTTCCCAAAATAAATCCACAACACTTTACGAAAAAAAAAGGAAAACCAATAATACTAAAATCAAATCATCCAAAAAAAAAAAAAAAAACGACCCAGAACATCATGTCTCCATCACAGAAAACGGGAAACAAAACAGTCTCTCGCCTTTCTCGGGAAATCGCGGGATATTGCGAGATAATTATGGCCATTCAAGCGTCGGTGTTCGACCATTTAAACCCTATTCAGACAAATAAGTCGACAAACAAGCTATAATGGGTGATAATGGAGAACGGTCATCATCAGCACGAAATATGTTCGACTGTACCTTTCGATGTTGCGTTGTTAGGAGAGAAAAGAGAAAATTGGAAAATTGTTCGAAGGAAAAGGAGGTGGGAAGGAAAAAAAAAATTGGAAGGAAGCAAAGAAAGGAAAAGAAATTAGTGAAATTATAGATAAGTATAGTAGATGACATGTACATGCGAAAATAGCATAGTTATACGTAAAAAAAAAAATAAAAAAAGTGAAAAGAAAATGAAGAATTTATAAAATAACGATATGTAATGGAAAACAAACAACAACAACAACAACAAAAAAACTATTTCACGAGCCTCAGAAGCCAGCAAATAGAAGCTTAACACATCAACACTTCTCCCTGCTTGTCAAGTCTTCAATCAACTTTAGAGCGAGGCTTTAACACGACCGGAGTCTCAAATGGGTAATTTAAGGAACATAACTATTACGTATTGGCGGCTTGCGTGTAACACTAACTACTGCTCTATCTACACGTCTCTCTGTCTGTCTGTCTGTCTCTCTTCTCTCTCTCTCTCTCTCTCTCTCTCTCTCTCTCTCTCTCTCTCTCTCTCTCTCTCTCTCTCTCTTCTCTCTCTCTCTCTCTCTCTCTCTCTCTCTCTCTCTCTCTCTCTCTCTCTCTCTCTCTCTCTCTCTCTCTCTCTCTCTCTCTCTCTCTCTGCGGTTTCCGTTATTGATGCTTCTGCTGTTTTTTATTGATTTCGTCGTTTTCTTCGTTTTTTTTTATAGTATTAGCATTACTATGGACAAATATATAAATAGCCCCCTCACTCCCCCCAACCCCCCACCCGAAAAATAGGCCGGCAGAAACGAAAGAAAAGAAAAAGATAAAAAGAATAAGAAATGATTATGATATCCCAGCAAATATATCAACAAATAATTTCCTTCTCTCCGCATCCCTCCCTTCTTTCTCTACCCCCTCCCCCCTCCCCTCCCCTCTCACCCCCCCTACACACACACACACCATTGGCTCCGTACGTCATTCATCCCCCCCCCTCACCCCCCACCCCATTCCTTCCTTCCCCAACGATCCTTACCTCCCTCCACCTACCCCCCCACCCCACCCCATCCCTACCTCCATCCCCCCCAATTCCCGTCGCCGTCGTAAACCGAGACCGATAAACCCACCCACATAATCAAATTGTTTTCCTTCCAAAGTGTCACAGTTCCCGAAAGAAGAAAAATCGATGCTGTGTATCCTCGGAAGGGTCGTGTAACTCCCTACCCCCCCCTCCCTCCCTCCCTCCATCTCCCTCCCTCCCTCTCCCTATCCCTCTCCTTCTCCTTCCCCTTCTCTCTAGTTCCTTACCCCTTATCCCCTTACCCCCTTCTCCTCCTCCTCCTCCTCCTCTATCCCTTATTCCCTCCCTCCTCCCCTCCCTTCCCCTTATCCTTCCTTCCTCTCTCCCTCTCTCCCTCCACCCTTCCCCCCACCCCTCTCTTCCTCCTCCCTTCCCCCCTCTTCCCCGGAGTAAAATATGGCACTGGTAGAGGCGGTGTCAGGTGATGACTCGCCCGGTGATCGAGTGCCACGAGTCGAGCCCCTGTCCTGAAGAATGGCACTGTGGCACTACTGAGTTATGACCCCGACTCGCTCGCTCGCTGGATCGGCCCGGGTCGAGGACGTACAGGTGTTGGAGGAGGAGGAGGAGGAGGAGAAAGGGGAGAAGGAAGAGGAGGAGGAGAAGGAGGAGCAGGAGAAGGAGGAGGAGAAGGAGGAGAAGGAGGAGGAGGAGGAGGAGAAAGAGGAGAAGGAAGAGGAGAAGGAGAAGGAGGACATGGAAGGAGGAGGAAGAAAGAAAAAAGAAGTGTGTATGGAAATAAGGAGAGATATCAGGAAGAGAAATAGGATGACTATATAGTAGAAATGGAGAAAGAGGGAGAAGAAGGAAGAATAAAGGAGCTAAGATAATTATGAAAATATAAAAAAAATAAAGAAGAAAGAAGAGAAAAGCAGCAAGAACTGTATACATATAAAGAGAAGACAGATAATACAGCAAAAGTCAAAAAACAAAAACAAACAAACAAACAAAAAAGCATAACCAGCAGGACAAGACGATGATGACTGCAACTTCTTTCTCCCTCCTTGTCGACAGAACCGAAGACGGAGCGGAAGACAGCGTCAGGAGAGAGCCACAGGAGATGACAGTGACAGAGAGGCGAAGGCGATGACAGATGATGGGGAAAGGAAGCAACAGAAAACGATAATAAACAATAAAAGGCGTGACAGAGAGGGAGGGGGCGTCGCGGTGGATAAGCCTTTGGTAAGGAAGGCAAGGTGAAGATGGGGAAAGCGAAAGAGAGGAAGAGGAGAGAAAGAGGAGGAGAGGGGGAGATGCTAGGAGGAAACATAAGTCGGCAGATATATGATAGATAGATAGATAGATGGTAAGAGTGAGAGAGAGAGAGAGAGAGAGAGAGAGAGAGAGAGAGAGAGAGAGAGAGAGAGAGAGAGAGAGAGAGAGAGAGAGAGAGAAGAAGAAGAAGAAGAAACAAAGAGAGAAAGAGAGAAACAAACAAAGACGAAAAAAAGGGACAAAGGCAGTCCCAGAAAGAACCGACCCACCAAAAAAAAAAAAAAAAGAAGACGGAAATAGACAGAAAAGCGAGAGACGGCGAGAGAACGAGAGATAAACACAGAGACAGTGCCCGAGTGTGAAAGGAGCGGAAATATCTGTCAAACGAGGCAAGAAATATGTCCCCCGAAGCCAAAAACCCGAAGAAAATCGAGGAAGAAATAAATGAATTCAAGAACCAGCGAAGGAGACGGAGGTTGTGACACCGAATAAGATTTTTGTGTTTGACGACCTTCGTTTGAAAGGAATACCAAATTTTGACTTTTTTTCGGGAGTCGGAGGAGGTTTCGCGATGATCGTGGAAATTTTGAGAAGCGAAATCCGCGAGTCGTATGTTTATCTAATGAATTTTTATTTTATGTAACTATATGGATGTTTGTATCGATTGTTTTTAACTATATGTGTGACTGTGTGAACGTATGTGCCTGTGTTTTTTTCTTTCTTTTCTTAAAGAATCCTTGCGGAAGAATGCACATTATTACTAACGTGATTAACGAAGACACCGCACAAACATCACATAAAGGCACCACTAACACAACACTTCACGAGGATAACACTGCACTAAGACGTAAGAGCGATCACCACAGCACCAACGTAACACAACACTGAGTTAACACGTCGATCAGAACTTAACACTACACGGATAACACCGGAGGAAGGGGCTTAC